AGTCAAATTGATCCACTCTGAACCGAAAATATAGCGGTTGAATTTTAGGCCTAGCCTCGATCATCATTACTAAAGTCGGTACGATAAAAAAACATAGTCTCGATTATCCAGTTTTTGATTTAATCATCACTGAGCGTTGAGCAGCAGATGGGATTCTAATCCAATAAATATCGCAACCTAGCGATGACATCGAGAGTTGATTATGGTCTGGATAAGTTAATTAATGTCTGATTGATAATTTAGATAACATTTCAGGCCTAAAGAAAGACCAACAATAGGCAGATGAGAGAGAGAGAGGGGGGGGGGGCGTCCCTTCGACACAATCTAGGTCATTTCGGGACTAACATATGGTTCAATTTTATTTCAATAATTCGCTTGTGCGTAGGGGTCTTTAGCAGTGGGAAGAAACCAGCTTTACTCAGTAAAATGTCAATTTAAGTTTAACTTCTGGTATCTTTATGAACTGAGACCAGATCGATTAATTTTCCAATATATCTATCACATTGACGTAAATATATAGAACAGAATTCAGCCATTCATTGTGTTTACGATCAATAAGGGTTATGCTATGCCAGGCTGAGTCTATTACTAGATAAATCATATTAACGAATAATGTACTGGATTTAAAGGGTATTAAAGATAATCCTCTTATTTAGAGAATTGTTATTAATAGACAATTGTTGTTGATTAGTGATACGAGAATGGCCACAGTTTCGTACTAGAAATAGCTCATATATACAATAGTCTAAGTATTTGTGTCAATTGAAATCTCCAGGGGTTAAATTGTATCTGATTGAAATTGATCAAATTGTTAATAATTTTGTGATGATATTAGATTGACTATAGTATTTGGGGGGTTGTTTTTTTCTGTTGGTCGATTTCATTGGTATAGACTATAAAAAATTAATTTATACTTAAATGTTTGTATCTGTCTATATAAATATAATCAAAGAGAGAGAGAGAGAGGGGGGGGGGGTAACGTCCACTCGACACAAACCAAGTCATTTTGGGACTAACATATGGTTCAATTTTATTCCAATATTTCGCGTGCGCGTAGGGGTCTTTAGCAGTAGGAGGAAGCCGGAGGACACGGAGAAAACCCACGTGGTTGGACAGGTAAACATACTCCTTGTCACGTACAACTGGGGAATCGAAACCACCCCAGTTGACTCACTGAAGGACCTTATGATACGCGCTATCCATTCGGGCATCCCCTCCCCTCCCCGAAAAATAAAATCAAGGCTATGTTTGTATGTATGTATGTATGCATGCATCCAAAAATATTAGCACAACCGTAAAGCGATGAAAAGATAAAAGGTATGCCGACACAAACTGATTTCAACATTGGTTTAATAATACCCTTCGTCCGTCTTGGGACACCATACATGTGTCATTGTACAGAGTTGGACAGTACTGGACACCATACTATAATTTATACATATTTACATAGTAACACTGTGGGTTTAATTGTCTATGGTTACACGGTATATGGGTAATTAACTGAAACATGTAAACAGGTGTGTTAATCTGTTGTATATGGGTATAATTTAGGAACAATGAGTGGAAAATAATCTCGGGATAGATTAAGAAAATCAATAAAATTAATGGACCGTTGTTATTTATTGATTATTAAGTCGAGGAACGTATTTTTTTATGAAATGGTTTTCCATTTTGTTTCTTTTATGTCATCGACTTTTATTTTATAAAACGTGAAAATTTGAAATTTTACTTGTTGTAGGTGTTGTGCACATCTAAAGATATGACTATTTACAAATAAGGATCCATTTTCAATATTACAATTCCGTCGAGAGATTTCTATATATTAGAAAGAATATTTGCTTTAGCTATATAGAAACTTGTGAATGGCCTACTATTATATGCTATATGAAGAGTCCAGGGGAAGAACGATCTAAGTCACACTTTTGTCCTTTCGCATAAAAGGCAAAACAGACTTTGAGACAAGAATGCTTGACGTGAACAGAACAACGAATGGGTTTAATTACAACTGAAAAATGAGGTTTATTAAGAATCACATAACTTCCAATACAACAACTGGAGATCCTAGTAATGGGAATAACTGACACAGGTTACTAGTGCGGGGTAACACGTTCGCTTGGCCGTCTCGACAGCTAGATGGCATCGATTCTGAGAATCCATTCCCAGCTCATGCAAAATTATAAACTATACGCTCCTTAAGTAAACAAAGTATACATTGTCAACAATATAAATGCAACATTATTTAACAGATGGACATAATGTGATTTATGATTAAGTTGACATACAAAAGTATTATTTAGTTACGTTTAATAAGTTATAGGATATGCATATAAATTATAATTGCATGCTATATATTTAAATTCAGCTATTTAAGTAAAGGGAGATAATACTCAATAATATTGGACAATGTATTATGGTACATTTTCAGCAAAATAGATTAGATTATATAATAGGGATATAAACTCACAAATAGTAAGCTAAATAACAAGACAGGGGTTTTCTATTAAATTATAAAATTAAACATAATATATTATGGCATATAGCAATATCATTATAAAACTTATAAAGAGTGTGTCAACATACTATTCATACAGTTATCAAATATCCAGTCCCTCACTATATATAACTACAGTTACGAGAACGGCGGATATTACTAACGTGGAAGTACAGGTAATATTGACGTTCGGGTTCGTGTTATACTTATGGAAAGGATATGTTGACATAATTACTTGCATTATTAAAAAACAAAAATTAAATTTTTTTTTTTTTAATGGTAAGTAAATTGTTTGTCTGCAGGTTTAAGTTCTCCAGTTGGTAAATAATTATCCTTACAAGTCAGACCCGACTGGTAATATCACAGTCATGAGAGCCCTACCAAGAACAATGGAGTGGAAAACATTCTATCTGAGGGGAAATGAAATGAAAAAGGGTTTAACATCCTATACTGTTCTGCTCCGACTGGGCTAACGAAGCGAACATACGCCATACAGTGTGCTATGAGGAAAATTTTGCCCGAGCAGCGGCACTATTGCCTACTCTTATATCGAATTCCAACTGCCAAGGGATCTTTTACGTCCATGCCAATGTATACATGGGAGCACGGTTTTTCATCCCATCCAAACGACTAGACAGCTGTCCTTGTCAGGCCCTCCCTTCTGCACCACTGACAAGGGAAACATGTCGGAAAATCGCAATGAACTTTCTCGGCCAATGCAGGGATCGAACAAGCCTTCGTCTTACCCACTTAGCCACCATGGCTCTCTCTATCTGAGGAGCTATATTCACCTTTAATGCACAGAATTTCATTTTAAAAATACCATCACTCTTTCTCTCAAAATCTTGGTGGTCAAACTCATAAAAACTTTGAAGCAAAGCCATGTGTTGCTCTGTCTGTAGTGAAAAGCGAAAATTACAAAAAAAGATGGTGCTGGACAAAGAGACCAGAATTAACATTGAAGTCAATGGGAAAATTGTTATGGAATAAATTATCAGTTCAAATTCCTAATTTCAATGCTATTGCTACTCTTAAAACTAAACTAAAGACATTTATTTAAACAGGCTTTTATCCAGCGATCCTTTTATATAAATTATACAGAGCTATATTAATTTCGAACTTATTATATGTAATTTTATCTAAATCACAACTTTTATTTATATATTTTTATCAAATATTTATATAATTTTATCTCTTTTTTATTATTTAACTGAAATATTATCTTAAACTCTAATATGTCATTGTAAAGCGCACCTAAGCACAATTAAGTGGCAGTTGTGTGCCATAGAAGTGTGTAATAATAATAATACCGAGTAATAATGATAAAATTGATGGTGGTCTGCATCCAATGGAATGAGGAGTTGTCCCCCTTTAATGCACAAACTTTCATATTTTTCCATGTGATGGTAAGGATTAAGGAATGAAATGCGGTATATAATCTGGCCAATATTTCAGTCATTTTGAGACTAAACTACAGTTGTTTGTTTTGTTCTGTTCAAATATGCAATCTAGGTGCACGGGTGAAGAATTCTAGCCACAACAATGTGATGTTTCACAATAATGTTCAATCAGTTCCAGTTGTTATTTTTATGGTTCACATTGTTTCATGTTTGTACTTATACTGGGCCATTTTCTACCAGCCTCTACTGTGGTGCATGCAGGGTGTACACATTGGCAGTTGGAATTTGTAGAAGAATAGTCCAGACAAAATAATTGACTCCCTCTATATACCGTCATCATATTGATTTTGTGTTAATACTAGCAAGGACGCCCGTAATATAGGCTGCTTAAAAGTGAATGAAATGAGATTTAACGTCCTCCTTTTTTTCCCCCAAATGGGTAAACGAAGCTGGATATAGAGGTCATAATGTTTGCTTAATCTAGCAAGCCAGCATCAGCATCTTACTCACTGAGACAACACGGCTCCCTATAATTATTATATGGATTTCTGTGGTTTCTAGCAAGGAAGGCGTCAGGCTCTGTTAACCCCCTAGCACCAAGACCCCCTAAATAGGGCTCCTTAGACCATCCAAAACTAACCTAGATAGTAGATAGGGCTCCTTAGATCACCCTAAACTATCATAGATAGGGCTCCTTAGACCACCCTAAAGTACCCTAGATAGGGCTCCTTAGACCACCCTAGATAAGGCTCCTTAGATCACCTGAAACTACTCTAGGTAGGGTTCCTCAGACCACCCTAAACTACCCTAAATAGGGCTCCTTAGACCACCTGAAACTAACCTAGATAGGGCTCCTTAGACCACCTGAAACTACCCTAGATAGGGCTCCTTAGACCACCCTAAATAGAGCTCCTGAGACTGAACTGTGACGTGCATAGCAGGGTGACCCCCACTTGATAAGGAATAGGGTTGCCTGTTCAATCTTGTGGGTTTTCTCCGATTTCCTCCCACAGCTAATTATTGAAATAAAAAATCAAACCAGGTTAGCCTCAAAATGACCTTGTTTGTCTCTCTCTATTATTTGTAAATAAATAAACACAGAAATCAAGTGAACTTGTTATTAATTTATTATATAATATAGAAACAGTAACAATTTAACATTTACTCTCCATAAAAACAATTTTATTTTAGATTAATTAAAAACTTACAAGTATCTTCATGCCACTGTTCAATTATTAGGTCAGTACAGTGATTCTCATCCAGTGTGCCTCGAGATCTTCATAAATGTGCCGCAAAATTTTGAACGGCACACTAAGAAAATGCGAAAAGCCATGTGATCCCAATTGAGTATTTCACTGGTGTCTACTGATAAGTCATTCTATGTCTCTATGACTAGTCAATGTTTTTTTTTTGTGCAAAATTCAAATATTTTTCATATATATTTAGCCAGGTGTGTGGCTATTTGTTCATGAGTTCCAAGGTGTGCCGTTGGCAAAAAAGGTGGGGACCACTGGGTCAGTGTTTGGATTTTCAATAAATAATCTAAAGGCTATCTTATGATTTCATATTAAACACATTTATTTTATTGGTAACAAGTAACTGTGATGCCACTTTTATCCAGTTGTCCTGATAGTTCACTAGCCTAAATTTCACGCTCAAAATGAAGAACTTAATTTTTGGCAGAACACAAAACATTTAGATCTAATTGGTTTTTACTTTAAATAGCTGTAGTCACAGGATATCCATTAATAAAAGTTTGTTAAAGTACACTAAATTAATACGAGACTGTGAAGATTTAAGCCAAATACTGCTGGGAAATAATTGCTAGATTTGTTCAATGTGGTCCTGTGACTTGCTTAAGGATTATCATTGTTGTTTAAATAATTGTGACAATGACATACATTGGACCGGTAGAAGGGGAGATAATTGCTGCACTGAAAACAAACAGTGATAACTACTTAAAGCCTTCTGTACTTGCTGTACAATTGTTTCAGTTATGACAAAATCTCAGTACATATTTAGCGTATATTAGGGCTTGAGAAATAGTGTATCGAGCCTTTAAAGTAGCTATTTAAAAGAATTTATCCAAATTTTGAGAGCATATGACGATCTCTACAGGACTGACACTTTCACTAAATATAATAACAAAAGGAAACTGTGCATGCTTGTTCTTTGGACATTTGTGCATCACTGGATGAAATTCTATTTTTGATATGACGTCATAATTTAAAGATGGCACATGTTTTTACGAATATTTATATGTTAAAGATGACGTCCAGGTCGGTTTATATAGTACGCACATGTTTTTAAGAATATTTATATGTTAAAGATGCATTATGTAAGAGATAAATCTGCCTATTGGAGATCTTTTTTCTGGCTTCAAATTTTATATAAATCAGAAATTTATTCACATGACATTTATTCAGATGACTGAGAATAAAATGGATTTGAACTCTCGCAAGATTTAAAAATTGAATGATAAAATGGATAATCGAGACTCAGTCTTTGTTGTCAAGTACCGTTGCTACGATAATAATAAACATACTGAAATTAAATATTAATTTTAAATGTGTGTTCGATATTGGGAATTATCGTTGTTTTGGATGTTTAAAATATCTTCCTTTCTCACATTTCTAAACTGAGTAATATGTCCTACTTCTGTCGTGTATATAGGCATATACAATCAAGGAATTGGCCCGAGGGAGTGGGAAGAAAGGGGGCAATAAAGAGAAAGAGTCTGATGTCCACTCAACTGTAAGGATAGTAACTATTTATGTTCGAATTAAGTAATTTTAATGAAATTTTCAATATATTTTCGAACTATTATAACAAGAAAGGCCAGCTTTTTTTTTTATCTAAATCTTACATAATGTATCTTTAATAAATATCACACATTTGTTTCAATATGACAGTAGTTGATTTTCATTGCTAATCATCTACATATAAAGATTTCATCAACATGTCTTGAAGTGTAGAATTTTGTGAAGACATTCTAAGGCCAAGGAAATATTCTTCCACACAACATTTTAAACGATCAAAATCCACAAAATTGATAGTTTGGGCTACAATACAATTTACACAAGTTTCTATACTTTGTGCATAAAATAAATTTGATTGAGACAGGATTCCTGGTGCTCTTTAACCTTTTTCAAAAATATAATAGTATAAAAATAACAGGTGGTTTTATTCTACTAATCAGCTCTTATTTCTTATTATATACCAGGCACAGAAATAATATTATTAGATGTATCTGACAAATATCAGGCACTACTGAACTGGTCTGCGACAAAATGAACTTTCTGCCATACACCTGACATGTCGTATATTGAGCGTTATGGAACTACGACGTAGCACTTGACCGTTTGAATCATTGTGTCCGACATTTATTAAAAAAATATCATTAAAAATTTGACTTTTTTGCCAAATATCAGGCACTACTGGATTAGTACCAGACAGTTTGAACATTTTGTCAGAAATATATTAAAAACACGAATAACAGACAATTGATAGACACAGACAATTAACCAACTAGAAACATCAACACTAATTGGTTAATTAAATGTCTGACGTCGTAGGGTCAAAAGCCGCTCGCATGACCTCTGACACTACCTTCTATTACAGCCGGTCAGATCTTCATGTAGAAGAGGCCACCAAAAGTATTAAACAAAACGTAAAGAAATACAGATCTGTATTTTAAACAGATTGTAGACACTGTGTCCCAGACAATTAAAGCCAGAATTTGTACCTGACAATACCTGTGATAGGTTTCTTATCACTAGGCTATATAATACCCATTTTTAAAAAAAAAATAAATACAACGCCAAAGAACATCATCCTATTGCTGAATAAATCTAAAACAATTTCCCGCACTATTTCAATATCTAAAGCACACAACAACCAACATTACAAAGAATCTTATGTTTATAAACAATAGTCCATGTCCTTAATAAACACAGTCCACTTCCTCAAACAATAAACACAGTCCGTGTATTATGTCTCTCGGTACCGTTCAACATTTTCTTGAAATATAACTTTAACATACGCCTGTATATTCTTCTTTGGTCTCTATCATCAACTTAGGCCTATATCGTTATTTAAGGCCTATATCTTCAGGATAGGTTTTTCTATATTTAAGGACTATATCTTCAGCTCAGGCCTTTGTTTTTTTAAGACTATTTCTTCAGCTTAGGCCTCTCGTTATTTAAGGCCTATATTTTCAGCTTAGGTCTCTCGTTATTTAAGGCCTATATCTTCAGCTTAGGCCCATATCTTTAGGTAAGGCCTATTTCTTTGTACTTATTATTTTCTTACAAAGTTTCACATCTCTCTCTCTCTCACAATTTATCACAGGGAATTGAGGAATCAATATAATACTGAAAATAAATTTATCACATAACGACAACAACAAGACTTCTCTAGTTCTTGCTTATAAAATTATCTTTAAACACATTTCATCTCACGAATCACGATCCTGTTTTGATTTCTTTTTAACTTTCTTACTACGTTCCCATCGAACCGTTTCAGCCTCAAGGGCAGATAAGTCTATCAAACGTTGTTGAAAGGAAGCAGGTGCTGCTATGGCAGGATCTGTGTATTTTGGTTCAACTTAAAAAAAAAAAAAAATATATATATATATTCACATATAACTCTATATAAATACATGAAACTGTTCTTTAACCTATGATAAGTTTTTAATTCCTGTCCACTGGACACAAACTAGGTCATTTCGGGACTTACCTACGGTTCAATTTTATTTTATTTCAATAATTTGCTTGCGCATAGGGGTCTTTAGCAGTGGAAGGAAACCAGAGGACCCGGAGAAAATCCAAGTTGGACAGGCGACCCTACTCCTTGTCACGTACAACCGGGGAATCGAAACCATGCCAGTTGACTCAATGGCAGACCATATGATACAGTCGCAGACACTTACCATTCGGCCATCCAGCTCCCCGACAAAATGTCATGGAGAATTTTGCCTGGACAGTGGCGTTTTTGTCTACTATTCCTCTTTGACTCTTCAGCTGAGCCAAGTGGACTTTAGTCGACACCAATATCGTTGCCATTAAGTACCCACAACAACTTCTATTGACAATATTGGTTAGTCGAATGCAACATTTCTAGCGTAAGGAGAGTTACTTCCCTTAGAAACAGACGACTTTCACTCGTGTGTTTACTTACTGTTTGACATTTTGACAGTTTAAAAACATACTGTTTCTTCTTAAAAAAATTATAATAAAACAGTGATATTGTCTACATCTACACAAAAATGTTCTGCTAATCATGGATAGACTTAATGACATGGTTTTTATGACGTTATGACGTCAAACCGCTGGGTCACTTAAGAGTTAACTTCAAACTGTCAAGAGCAGTTAGTTTTAATGTGGCTCGATCAGTGAGCATAACAGGAGGTGTCCAGGATTTTATCCCGATGTTGGCAGACAGAGATCCTCAGAACTATGCAGTATGATTTACCCATGTCATTGGTGGTCTGGTGCCAAAGATATATTATAACTACTTACCATCACGTGCTCGGGAAGCCCCAGTACCCATACTAAATCTAGAAGTTGATGGACCACGTCTTATTGGTGCAGCACTAGAGGTTGTCACAGAATTAACAGAATACTGTCTATTTAATGATAACATAGAGTTCTTAGCAACGGAATTAGGATTCCATATCGTTCCCATAGCAACTAAATCATCTTTCTCTATTCCTGATAAACAAATATGATAAAAGATTACGATAATAGGTGCTAAAGTATTAATAATAGTAGTAGTTATTTCCAATAAAAGGAGTGGAAGAATGGTTTAAAGAAGAGACACTCAATTTTACTAGAAAGATACTGAATTCCACGAGAAACACCCATGGGACATGTACAAGACAACAGAAAGAGAGAGAGAAATGGGGTTTAACGTCCACTTGACACAAACTAAGTCATTTTGGGACTAACATATGTTTTTTTTTTTTATTTCAATAATTCGCTTGCGCGTAGGGGTCTTTAGTAGTGGGAGGAAACCGGAGGACCCAGAGAAAACCCACAAGGTTGGACAGGCGACCCTACTCCTTGTCATGTACAACCGGGGATTTGAAACCACACCAGTTGACTCAATGACAGGCCTTTTAATACAGCATGCACGTGCTAACCATTCGGCAAACCAACCCCCCGAAAAGAAGAATAGAAAATCGTATTTGTAAAATAAAATCTTACCATGTGATGAGGTATTTATTTTTGGTGTAGAATTGTTGGAATGATACTGTTCTCCGCGTAGATATGACTGTCGTATACCCGCGGGTCGGAAGTGATTTTGTTTAGCTGCTGTAGCTGAGTTTTTGATTGGTTGTAATTCATCTTTATCACCATTTATAGACACTGAAAACAGACAGGGAATATAAATACATTGTCAGTCATTTATAGACACTGAAAACAGACAGGGAATATAGACACATTGTCAGTCATTCATAGACATTGAAAAAAGACAGGGAATATAAATACATTGTTGTCAGTCATTCATAGACAATGAAAACATACATGGAACATAAACATATTGTCAGTCATTTATAGACGCTGAAAACAGACAGGGAATATAAACACATTGTCAGTCATTCATAATCATTGAAAACATACAGGGATTATAAACTCATTGTCAGTCATTTATAGACACTGAAAAGATACAGGGAATATAAACACATCATCAGTCATTTATAGACACTGATCGTTAGTCTTTGTTTTCTATATTTCGCTAGTGAGCTAATAAGAGCTCTCCTTAATTTGCAAAAGTCAAAAATTCTTCCCCTAAAAAAGGTCTCCCAGTTTTGACCTTGGTTTTTTTGTTTCATCCGAACGGATATATGTTGTCCCTTGCCAGGCCCTCCGTCCTGCACCATGGACAAGGGGGAACCATGTCGGAAAATCTCGAACTTTCTCAGCCAACACAGGGATCAATCTCCAGATTAGCAAGCCAACATCTTACTCACTGATTCACTGTGGAATAAAAATTGGCTGGCAGGTAGGTTGTCTTGATTTCACTACAGACATTCAATATGACTTAAACAATATGACTTTACAATGTAAAGAAACATCAGATTTTTAATTTCACTTACCATCTTCTCACGCGACAAACAAGATTGCTTAAAATAGATTCTTACAGCATCAGGTAGTTTTCTTACGATTAAAATGTTTTGAGAGGGATTTGAAGCACATGTTTGAAAGATAAATTAGCTTGAATATGCTTCTAGTTCAAATATATCATCAAATCACACTGTTTGGGAAATCAAAACCACGCTAGTTGACTCAATGACAGACCTTATAATACAGCGCGCACATGCTAACCATTCAGCCTTCCATCCCCCCCACACTGTTTGTACATGGGAAGGTATCTTTAAGAAATGTATTTCACGTACCTTTTTCTAAAGACAATGATCGTCTAGAATTATTCCTACTTGCTGGCCGTCGTATATCACCATCTCTTATTCGTGTAGATTTATCTTTATCGAAATAGACTAGATCTTTAGGTGAATAATCATCTGCTAGTGAAGATCGACCAGTCTCTCCATTATATAATATATCTGTGGTTGAATATGGCACTGACGGTGAACTGGAAGAACTGAAAGTAGAGAAAAATAAAACATTAATAAAACATTTCAAAACACGAATTCCACAGATTCGCCTATCTGAGGCACTTAAAACGATCGGAATGATAATGGCTATATTAGCTACTTATGATTAGTTTGTCGATGCATTGCCATGCATAGAAAAGCTGTATTTCATTGGCTATTTTCAGTAACAAGATGTATTATCATTGGCTGTTTACAGTACATAAGTAAGACACAACACAATGACGAAACATGTAAAACTGAATCTGGTCGATTCTAAAATATGGAACATCCATAAAGCATCTCTTTTATCCATATTTCTATATATATATATAGCAAAATAATTAAAGAACTAGTACATCTTCCTAGCATTTATGCCACAAAACCGATTCGACCACAATAAAATAATATCATACTCTCAGAATCAACAGCTATATCCATCTAAATTGTTTCAATGGCATTTAGTTAGAAACATGAAAATACACCGGTCACAATTCTATGGAATACAATTAGGAGACGAAAATATGCAAGTACCAGTTCTGTGGAATACAATTAGGAGACGAAAATACGCAAGTACCAATTCTATGGAATACAATTACAAGACGAGAACAGTAACCTGTGGCCATCACTTACAATATCCTGACGTCACTTAATATAAATAGTAACCTGTGGCCATTACTTACAATATCCTGACGTCTCTTAATATAAATAGTAACCTGTGGCCATTACTTACAATATCCTGACGTCTCTTAATATAAATAGTTATTATATTCCATAGGATTGTGACCTGTGTATTTCTATGTTAAATGAACTATATTCTAACTTTATCCAGTATCTATACAGATTGTTCACTCTTCTACCTATTTACACAGTCTATATAGCATATTCTGTCTTACTAATATGAGTTTACTGAACAAATGTCTTGGTCTGTATTTTATGTATATAAAGTTTCTATGTATTGTATTCTCTCTTATTGAAATCGCAGTATACAAGTGACGACATGTTTCACACTTTCAGTGTTAAAGATATTGTACACTATATATTCGTTGACATGAATTCTTTATTATATAGGAGACATAACTTATCCTTTTACGATATAATATATATCTACTCGACAAAATACACATTGATGATTCTTATCTAATATAAATAGATGAAAGCTTTATTTTATACACTTGAAGCACTTGGTGTTTTCAAACCAATAATACACACTCAAAGATGATTAAGAAATGAAATGGGGTTTAACGTCCTACTGTTCTGCTCCAACTGGGCTAATGAAGATGGGCATATGCCATGCAGTGTGCTATGAGGGAAATTTCGCCCGGGCAGTGGCACTATGACCAACTCTTATACTGAATTCCAACTGCCAAGGGATCTTTTACGTGCATGCCAATGTATACAGGGGACCTCTGTTTTTCGTCCCATCTGCATGACTAGACAGCTGTCCTTGTCAGTCTCCTTCCTGCACCACTGACAAGGGAAAACCACATCGGAAAATCCAATTCAGGGATCGAACACGCAACCTCCAGGATAGCGAGCCAGCGTCTTACCCACTAAGCTACCGTGGCTCCCTACACTTTATGGCACAGTTATATGAAGCTTCTGCATTAATTGATGTTTAAAATTTAACTATCAAATGATTATTATCCAAGTTAGGTTAGAAATGACACAAATGCATCAACACTTTTACACACTTCCTGGATTTGGCAATAATTGTTATGTTTAAAACATTACAATTACATCAACACTTCTACACACTTACTGGATTTGGTATGGTCAAATAGTAATTATGATGTTTATAACAGCACAATTACTTACATCAATATTTTACACACTTACTGGCTTAAGTATTATTATTATGTTTAAGACAGCACAAATACATCAACACTTTTACACACTTTTTAAAACAGCACAATTACATCAACACTTTTACTTAGTTTGGCAATGTCAAATAATTATATTGTTTGAAATGGTACAATTACATCAACACTTTTACACACTTACTGGAATTGGCTTTGTCAAATAATTATTGTGTTTAAAACAGCACAATATGTCAATGTTTTTACACACTTTTTGCAGTTGGCGTTGTCAAATTTATACTAGATTTAATGCAAGTGATATGTGAGAGTAAATATGTTTATGAGATTATTCTAGTTGTATTTTTATGCATAGGTTTTTGTCTACTCCTGACAACAATAGTAGATAGGGTATTATTAACAGATTAGTACATACACAAGCTATCAATGTACAATATATAGAAACCATTGACACCAATAACAAAGATTTCAATAGAATAAAATCTGTATGACATACTCTTTATCTAAACTATAACATGTGTAGCAAAATGAAATGAAATAGGGTTTGACGTCCTACTGTTCTGCACCAACTGGGCTAACGAAGACGGGCAAAGCCATACAGTGTGCAATGTGGGCAATTTTGCCCGGGCAGCGGCCCTATGGCCTACTCTTATATCTGGGCTAATGAAGACGGGCATACACCATATAGTGTGCCCGGGCACTGCAGTACTACAGCCTACTCTTATACCTAATTCCAATGTAAAAGATTTCTTTTACGTGCACGGCAATGTGTACATAGGACTTCAGGATTTTTTACCCCGTCCAAACAACAAGATGTTGTCCCTGACCAGGCGCTCCATACCGCATTAATGACTAGGGGGAACCATGCCCAATGAACTTTCTGGGCCAACACCAGGATCGAATATAGAACCTCCAGGTTAGCGAGTCAACGCCTTACTCACTGAGCTACCGTGGATTCCTTTACATTTTGATGCTGGGGTGCAGAAAAGTTGTAACAGTTGTCCTAAAAGGCTCTGGGGGAAGCTTGTGCTTGTAATAATATAATGATATATAAATATACTGCCATATATTTCAATTAAGCAAAATATTTTTATGATATGATAACACAATATTTGTATGATGTGATATCAATATTTTCATGAATGATATTTTTTTTTTGCATTTGTGTCAATAATTCATTGTTGAATAAATTGTGCGACCAATGCCTTGTTATTCATTAAAGTTCTACATTCTGCTCGATCTAGACTAATGTGGTATGAGCGACATTTTGCACGGACAGCGGCAATACAGCCTACTCTTATTTTCAATTCCAACTGTTACCGGTTCTTCTACTTACACGCCAATATGTACATATGTTTTTTTGTCTCATACTAACAACTAGATGCTGTTCCTTGACAGGCCCTCGGGCTTGCAACTCTTTAACAAGACTGGCAGATATGATTGAAATAAGAGTCCTGATCTGTTCATCAGAGAGTAAGAGACAGAGAGAGAGAAAGAGAGAGAGAGAGAGAGTTTAAATTCATTCAACACAAACTAGGTCATTTTGGGACTAACATGGTTAAAATTTTATTTCAATTATTTGACAGGTGATCTGTCTGTTCCTTGTCTTGTACAAGCAGGAAATCGAAACAACGTCACTTGACCCAATGACAGCCTTATGATCCAACACGCACATGTGAAACCATTCGGACACTCAGCCCCCCTGCCCCTCTGCCCATCAAAGAACCTTAAACATTCGTAATTTGAAAATGAGTAAGTCAAGATCATCTAAAATACAATATATAAATACCTTTTACGACACAATCGAACAGATCTCGGAATGGTCCAAGTCCAATCTGGATACGCGATATTCAGTTCTAGTTTTTTCATAATTTATGGTAGGCCTGCGTAACAAGGATTATATACATTACTCATTGTAACCAATCAGACTGTCTCAGTTACTTCTACTACTATCATAATATACTATTGCAAAGTTCACAGATAAATACTTGTTCTTCCCTCTAAATATTCTTTAATCGAAGTTCCACAGATAACTATTCAATCTTTCGACGAAATACTTGTTCTTCCCTCTAAATATTTAATAATCTAAGTTTCACAGATAAATACTCAATATTTCGACTAAATACTTGTTCTTCCCTCTAAATATTCTTTAATTTAAGATTACAGATATCTACTCAACCTTTCAACTAAATATTCTGTAATCTACCAAGATTTATTGTTTTATCATCAAACAAACAAGATGTCTATTAATTCACCTACAATAATCAATAAATTAATAATGTCTCTCAACATACCACATCATGGCGTTCCCAAGATAAGTTGACCAGTATTTGATTTACGAGTGTCTTATCCCCATGTAGCTAGTGTCAAATCAATACGCTGTCACTAGATCTTGCAAATCAATTATGAATATATGATTTTCAAATATTTCAGTCCACAATTTCTAGGCTTTTATGAAAACCTAATGTAAACTCATGACTTCTCTATTTATAAAACTTGACAGGTATTCATGTACAAGGCAGGTATGCTCCTTCTAATTTCTATTCATGAATTTCACACAGCTAACAATTTTCAATGTTTTTTTTTTTAGTTATTAAACTTGTACAAGGCAGCTATGCTCTTTTTCATTTATATTCATGAATTTCACATGGCTAACAATTTTTAATGTTTTTTTTTAATTTGGCTGATCTCATTGGGCATACTGTACATAGTTTCATGATCAATTTCTTTTATACATGATTCACAAACAACTTGTCATTTACAAATAGTAAATATATTAAGCTCTTTCTATTATTTATGAAACAAACACAAACGTAAGACAGTTGGATGTAACTGTAGTACCACAATCCATAAAGCAAATTTTTTACATGTTGGTCTGACTCCGGCACAGACGAAGACCGATGAAACAAGACCTCAAAGTTGCCTTTTTTATCATTGTTCAACCACATCCGAACACGCTAGTCAATTTGATATAGTTCGTATAAATCCTACTGCCTCAACGATTGTCCACCATGACTGGCCTGTTTAAGTTGACTAATCTATTATAGGGGTTGTATAATATCCATTAGTTTATTGGTTCATACCTAGATAAACCTCTATTAGTTACACTTCATTTAACATCTAATAATAAACTCTCTATAGACCTAACACACTAATCTCTCTATTATATATAGTAACTAAACATGTGTATCATA